ACACGCCAGTGCCTTTACTCCTCAGTTCGGCTTCCGCTCTAATCAGTGGCCAAAGATGGCGGACACTCCACGGCCCTACTGCGGCACGTGCGCGGCTGTAGTGCAGCTTTGCGGAGGCAGATTATGTCGGACGCTACACTACCCGACTACGACACGCGAGTGCCTTTACTCCTCAGTTCGGCTTCCGCTCTAATCCGTGGCCAAAGATGGCGGACACTCCACGGCCCCACTGCGACACGTGCGTGGTTGTAGTGCAGCTTTGCGGTGGCCCAAAATATCGGACTCTACACTGCCCTACTGCGACACGTCAGTGCCTTTACTCCTCAGATCAGCATCTGCTTTAATCAGTGGCCAAAGATGGTGGACACTCCATAGCCCAACTGCAGCACTGTGCGGTGCCCCAAAATGTCAGACTCTTCAATGCTTAACTACGACACACACGCAAGTGCCTTTCCTCCTTAGTTCGGCTTCAGCTCTAATTAGTGACCAAAGATGGCGGACACTCTATGGCCCTACTGTGGCACGTGCGCGGCTGTAGTGCCGCGTTGCGTAGCTCGAAAATGGCGGACTCTACGTAGAACTCGTACGACGCGCCTGTGCCTTTACTCCTCAGTTGAGCTTCCGCTCTAATCCGCGGCAAAAGATGGAGGACACTCCACGGCCCTACTGCGGCACGTGCGTGGCTGTAATGCCAAGTTGCAGTGGCCCAAAATGTCGGATTCTACACAGCCCTACTACGACTCGCCAGTGCCTTTACTCCTCAGTTGGGCCTTCCGCTCTAAATAGTGGAAAAATATGGCGGTCACTCCATGGCCCTTCAGGGGCGCGTGCGCGGCTTTAGTGCCGCGTTGTGGTGGCCCAATATGTCGGACGCTATACTGCCCGACTACGACACGCCAGTGCCTTTACTCCTCAGTTCGGCTTCCGCTCTAATCAGTGGCCAAAGATGGCGGACACTCTATAGCCCTACTGCGGCACGTGCGCGGCTGCAGTGCCGCGTTGCGGTGCCCCAAGCTGGCGGATTCTACACTGCTCTACTACGACACGCTTGTGCCATAACTCCTCAGTTGAGCTTTCGCTCTAATCCGTTGCCGAAGATGGCGGACACTCCATGGCCCTACAGCGGCACGTGCGTGGCTGTAGTGCCGCTTTGCGATAGTCCGAAATGGCGGACACTGCATTGCCGTACTAGACCCTACCAAAGACTTAAGTTCTCAGTTTTGCTTCCGCTTTAATCAGTGGCCCTACTGCGGCACGTCCGCAAATGTATTGCCTCGTTGCGGTGACCCAAAATGTCGAACACTACACTGCCCTATTACGACACGCCAGCGTCTTTACTCCTTAGTTCGGCTTCAGCTCTAATTAGTGACCAAAGAAGGCGGACACACCACGGCCCTACTGCGGCACGTGCGCGGCTGTAATGCCAAGCTGCAGTGACCCAAAATGTCGGACTCTATACTGCCCTACTACGACACGCCAGTGCCTTTACTCCTCAGTTCGGCCTTCCGTTCTAAATAGTGGAAAAAGATGGCGGTAACTCCACGGCCCTACTGCGGCACGTGCGCGGCTGAAGTGGCCCAAAATGCTTTTTGGTGGCCCAAAATGGTGGACACTACACTGCCCTACTAGACCCTTCCAAACACTTTACTCCTCACTTCGGCTTCAGCTCTAATTAGTGACCAAAGAAGGCGGACCCTCCTTGGACCTACTACGACACGCCAGTCCCTTTACTCCTCAGTAGGACTTCCGCTCTAATCCGTTG